AGTAACAAAGGTTTTGTGTATTAAATTCTGTTTTCCAAAACAAATCACACAAAAGGCACTTAAGCGGCATGCTGCAAGATCAATAAATTGAAAAATTATTCTGCTAGAGCCTTAGTACTCAAGGGAAGAGAACACAAGTGTGAAAACACAATAGTTAATACATGCATACATACATACATACATAAATAATTTATTTGGTAACGCAGGGTGGTTGCTGGCATCATTAAACTGATGTGGGCCTGCGATAAATCTAACTTCTATATAATTGAAGTAATTACAATAAAAGTTGAAAAATCCTCGCATAAATTAAGATATGAGTAGTGATTCAAACTGGTTTATAATCCTAGCATAAATTTCAATTCAGGTAGTAAGATAAAATTCCTAAACAGTTCAAATTTACCAAATCCTTGTTGCCAACTGGAGCAGTGTGATTAAAACATATCTTTTCAATATTAGTTGAAAGAAAACGGAGTTTGTTGTTAAATCTCTTATTATCCTCTATGTTCTTGACTGAATGAGGCAAGGAATTCCACGCTATTGCTGACCTATCTCTAAGAGACAGTATTCCAACATTGGAGTTTGGTACCTCCAGAGTTAGTTTTAAATTGTCCCTCACATCTCGTATATTTGGATTTTTCCTAATAATTGTTACAACCTGCTCCGGACAGATCCCATAAAAAGCTTTGGGTGTCAGAGAAAGGAGCCTCATCTTAAAGAAATAACTTATGGATTTCCAAGAAGATGGTATCACTGACTGGGACTTAGTATACCTCCATGTTGTTTGAAGATAAGCTTGGCAGCACTCAGGTGAATTTTCTCTAAAAAAAACCTAGTTTTTCTATTCCATACACAATTTCCTTAAGTGATGCTTGGTAAAATTCCCTTAAAAGATATGGACTCCAAGATATGAGAGGAAGGCTTTTAAAACTACGCAGTTGCTTTACCTTCTTGGCCATAGATACTGATAGATCTTTAATGTGATGTCCCTAGCTTAACTTATTGTCACTCATAAGCCCAAGACAGTATGATTTGTTGAAAAAGTTAATGGCATGACCAACCAGTTTGACTGGTCTTACAAGACCAATGAAAACATTACGGGTGAGAAGCATAACCTCAGTTTTATCGGATGAATTGTTAGACAATTCCTGTTACACTAGTTAGCTATTTCAGTTAAAGAAGTTTGGATCTTAAGGCTGACATCATCAATGGAATTGCCCATACAATATAAAGTTGTGTCACCAGTAAACATTTCCATCTTTCCGCAACTAGGCACCTCAGGCAGATCATTGACGTAAATACTAAAAAGCCTGGGGCCAAGTACTGTCCCTGGGGTACGCCAAACTTGACGGTCACTTCATTAGATCTTTGCCCCTTAACCTCAACAAACTGTTTTCTCTCAGATAAGTAATTTTCAATCAGATTGTTTTGGTTCCCTGATAATCTAAAGGCTTGGAGTTTGAGGGCCATCGTGTTATGACAAATGTAATCAAATGCCTTTTTAAAGTCTATAAACAGTACCCCCACAGTTTTGTTTTTATCCAGTTTCGTGTCTCCAAACTTCAGTCAGGTGCAGCATTAAGAGTTCTGTTGACGTGCC